CACGTCCTGGTGGTTGATGACTGGGTTCCCCAAAAAAAAACCAGCCACTCAGTAACCCAACCCCCCCCCCCTATGATGCCGGTCACAGGTGCTGGCGAAACGTTAGGAAACAAGACTTCAAGACCACGGCCACACAGCCCGGAAGACCCACACCAGCCTTCCTTTATTTGCTTAGATCTTATAGACAGAATCTTGCCTGACTAAATTTATACTACTGCAACAAGAGGATATACCCTGGGAGATTCTAGGGAGTGGCTATCCTGAACTTCTTTCACTTCCCATGCTCCCCCTACGAACTGTCTTTTGTCTCCTTTCCCTTCCTGGAATGCACCCCCTCCTCCCTGATAGCCTTGATCTCTCACGTCCAGATCCTGAATGGCAGTCTGATTCATTTTTAAAACAATAAGAACTGTCATTTTTATAACAACTCCTATAATGCTAACTATCAGCTAGGTTACAGATATGTAACTTCTGGAAAAATCCATATTTTCTAGTTTAACAACGATATCAAAGACTTTGTGGGTTGACTCTCCTGAACAGATGCACACAGCAGTTCTGTTCTTTATTGTGTCATGTGAGGATTTGATTGAGCTCACATCCTATTTACAGTCTTCCTCTGTGAATGTAGAAGGCCACTGGGAGAACTGGACTCTGGACCTCTTAGGCACTTGGACTGATCTCACACAGGAGACCAGGCATGCAACTTTGTGCTCAGTCTCTCATGATATTCTGGAAAGAAATGAAGTACATCATCTAGTTACTGTATTTTTCTTTATACTCTGCTTATTATTTTTCTATTTATATGTACCACTTTCTTGTTCAGAATATTTGAATATTGTTTTGTTTCTTTTGTTTTTTAATGTGTTAGCTTCAAGTGGCTACTAATATAAAATTTATAATATACAGTGTTGTATGGCTGTCATTTTTCAGATTCAAGGGAACAGCTTGATCAATGGATAGACTTCAGGGATGGATTGGGCTGATTATCAGTCTTATGGTCTACCTAACAGGTAATATCCTTTATGTATTTATGTATTAGATTTATATGGCCATCCATCTCAAATACACGACTCTGGGCAGCTAACAATATTAAAAATGATGAACACATATACAAAAAGAAAAAAACCCCATAAAGTGCATAGCAGCTGCGAAAAATTACAAAAACATCAGTCAGTCACTCAACACAACCAAGAAATGGGCTCTGTCAGATACTTGGCATCTCAAGCACAGAGCCAAGTCTTCAAGGCCTTATGGAAGGCCAGGGATGGGCCAATCTAATCTCCAGAGGGATGATATTCCAGAGGGAAGATGCCACAGCAGAAAAGGCTCTTCTCCTGGACCCCACAGCTGACACTCCTTAGCAGACATGACCCAGAATATGCCTCTCCTGATTGACTGAACAAAGTAAGGCCTCTCATAATACCTGTCATAATACATCTTTGATTTGGGCCTGATTATCTACTGTAATTCCATAGCACATTGAAACACCAACATCACAGACACTAAGAGACACATTAAAGGTACAATTTTATGTTGTGCCTTGAGTTTCAAATAACAGTTCAGCTTCCTCCATGCCCTCCATACCTTCAAAGTGAGAAGAATTATTAAGATAGTGCTAAAACTGGCATGGATCAAAAGCCCTTTCAAGTAGTGGACAATGGACATTACTGTAGAGGAAAGGAGGAATGGCCTTGAATGACAGGAGGAAGAGCCACTAATAACACAATAGTTGGATAAAAGAAAGTAATGTGAGTAAGTGTCTCAGACAAGTTCCTCCCTAGTTCGCACAAAGATAAAGGGAGGGAGGAGGGAAGCACATTCAGACTTGCAAGACTCTGTTATATAGCTTTACAATAAAAATAGTACTGACTTACATGGCATTGGTTTCCTAGTGTGGTCTACCTTGAATGGCTGACAATATTGGGTAATTTTGTATGATGTCATAGACACCAAAAGTAAATACGAAATTTTAAAATATACAAATTTTAAAATATAAATTTAAAACATTCAAATATTTAAGTATTTTTTAAAATGCTGAATTTGAGCCAATGGTGGAGCATTATCTTATGTTCTCAGGTTATTATGATACATGCACTTCTCTTATTTATCAACTCTACATTTAAAACTTTACATTAGCAGGTATGTTTTATGGTAACTGATCACTGACCTGAAAGAAGAACATGAATTTGCTCAAGAGAAGCCTTTCATATTATAGTATCTTGGCTTCTGTAAGGATAAACAGGAGGTTTAAAAGAGCTCTTCAGAGCTTTTGAAGCAGCTGCAGACTCATCCAGTCTCACAACGGGCACTGAGTTGACAACTTCTGGTTTGGGAAACAATGTTGCTAGTGTACAGAGCATATGGGTGGACTCATTTCCCATTTGTTGGAACTCTTACTGCATGCCATCTCTGGCTCCTGGTCTCTAACAATCATTCTTTCTCTTTCTTCCCACCGACATAGAGCTTCAATATCCTGTTTCTGGTACTTGTCTGCAGATGTTTGAAATACATCTGCCCTGTCTAGCTACCTAGCAGTATGCAGTGATGGTTAGAGGTATTAAGAAAAATGCCTGCTTCCAAAAATTAAAATAATTCCCTAGCACAATTTGCAAAAGCTTTAAAATGCAACAGAAAAATGGGGTCTTTGTAGCCACCAATAGATTTTTTTGGGGGGGGCAAATGACTAAACTTATGTGCTGTTAACTGAAAACATTGGGAGAAGTGGGGGGAATACTAGGAATTTATTTTATTTCTCTTTCATTCTGGAACAATGAATTTCTTCAGTAGCTTATATCAGATTAGGCCATTGATTGATGACATTCTTTAGCTGGAGGGTCAGCACTGACTGGTGCGAGTTCACTGTGTTCTCAGTGTTTTGAAGTCCCCTGAAACTGAGATGATCACAGAGTTGCTTCAAAGTATTTTGAGAGAGATTGGGGAGTAGAAAGATTGTGTGGAAGTACCCTCAGTTAGCACCTTGCTAATATGTGGTCATATCTATTTTTCTCTCTTTATAAGGCACAAATTTCTCCAGTCAGTTGAGGGTATTTACTTATTATTAAAATACTTTCTCCTATAGATGCCTCCCTGATTTTATACTTCATCTCAGAATCATCCTGATCATAGTAGGGGAACAAACATGGGTCCTAGTTTTAAATTAACTAATTATGGACATGGCATGTCCACCCCATAGTGACCCTGTAGAAGAATCCCCTCCTTTGGAGGCTTCTATGTTGTTTAACTATAAAGTGGTAGCATCCCATGCTTGCCTTTGAAGATATTTTTATTGAATGAATATTCAGAAATAATTGTGGCTTGTTTATAATCCATTAATAAACAAATGACTTCCCTGAAAGTAACAAGCAGCTTTGATGCATCTAAAAGCAGAATGAAATCTGATTTCATCCCAGCTACACAAGAATGAAAGCAAAGGGGAAGTGTATGACCCTGATACCTTCTCTTGCTTATGGTCAGCAGGGTGGATCAAGGTCATTGCAATTTGGTTTGTAGGTGGGATCAAACAGTATAATGGGTAGGGCGCATCCAACCTTGTATTTAATAAAACTAAGAATATGAAGAAGTAAACTAAATATCCTGGCAGCAGCCAGCAAAATGCTTCCAAGATGGGAAGACCTTAGCAGATAAGACAGTACACTTTGATGTATACCTTTGCCAATAATATTTTTCCTTAAAATTAAACTGTTTCAAAACCATATACTGTATATGTTTGTGTGCGTGTGTCTGTAAAAAATAACACCAGGGTTTCAGAACCAAAATAACTTTGCCTTTTTTATGCAAGTGACATCATATTACTATGCAGTATGTACTTTGCCCTATAAAAGTTCAGCCTTAGTTAATCATACTAGAACCAGATTTTATTATCTTGAAGCACAGGGCAAACTTATAATGCAAAATGATTGCTTGCTTTTGTTACTAACATGGACAAGAAAGCCCTTCAGATTTCATGTACATCATCCGGCTTCAGTTTCTATCATCAATGTATTACCAAGTCAAACCCTCTTTCATCTTCTTTGTTCACACAGGACTGTAACTATGCTTTACCTTTCATGCACACTTTAGTCTATTATACCTTCATTTCATAAATGTTATCAAGTCCTATATGCAAGATAGGTTACTGTAGAAACACTTTTACTGGCATTGGCGTTGGTATAGTTTTAATTTCTGTTTGTTTTGCTTTACAGATCATGGATTTGGCTATGCCATCATAGAAGGCCCCCAAAATTTAACAGTTGTTGTGGGTTCTATGGCCCGATTTAACTGTACAGTATCGAATGGGTGGAAAATTTTGATATGGCTTTTGAATGGAGATCCTAAGCTGTCTGTACCGAGTGTTGGAGACCCTATTGTAACAGACAATCGATACACGCAGAAAGGTTATAACACGGATAGTGGGTTTACTTCAGAGCTGATGATCCATGATGTTCAGCTGAACGATTCTGGACAAATCAGATGTAGCATCCAGTATAATGATGATAATAGAAGTGCATTTCTTTCTGTGCAAAGTAAGTATGTCTTTCCATGATTATTCATATAGCTTGGGTTTTTTTAATAATTTTTTTTAATTAATTTTTTAAAAATTTTTTATAAATATTATAATAGGCTTAT